ACATAGTTATGTAAAATTTTTAAATATGTGTAACTTACTTACACATAGTAAGAAATGGTTATAAAAACTGAAACAGAAGTGAAACAAGTAATAGGAAAGAGGAGAACTAAAAAGCGATACTTATCCTTTGCCGGTGTCCCTGCCTGGTGGAGTCGCACGGTAGAGTCGATGGTCTTTACACTCTTCGGTCTTCACACGAGGAGGCCGTCACGCCACCGCTGCTGCGGTAAACTAAACTTTTTTATACCCGTCTAACAACATACTAAATTACTTCAGCTGGACACACTTTCCTTATTTTTTTCCACAACAAATGGCCAAGCAAGCGCAGACACTGACAAGATACGCGATACAGAACGAGACCAAATTGTATAAATTAATATTCAGTTTGCAGCCACAGAATAACAGTAAGGAAAACAATTATTGGTCTTTTTGGCATCCATGATGTTTTTATTGAATGCAGAAATCAGTGCAGCTTTGTGTAAAACAGCTCTTGTGTTCAAAGACAACTTTTGTCTTCAAAGTAACTATACAACTAACAGATAATAGATAGGAGATTGTGGAATACCAATGTCATTTTTGTAATAATGAGAACAGTCTAAATTAATTGAGAGTTTAGCATTTGATCATTTGACCAACAACTACACAGTTAGAATGAGAAATCCTAATTGAGTGTATCTTATCTGCCACACTCAACAAATCTGTATCCCACCATCATTTCATCTTTGCCATCTGCTGCACAGGTCACAAGAGCACTGGAGCCGGAAAACAGCTGACAAGAAAAGAAGAAGTATCCGTTTCCAGAGAACGATTGATTTGTAAAGAAGAGGAAGATCCCAGACCCAGTGCCACAAACAGCCGTGGAGAACATTGGTTCAGTGACACAGGGCCTCTTGAACAAGGAATTAAAACTTCCTGACTTGTGCTGCCAGGGTCATGCCAATGCCAGGGGTTCAAAATGACCCACAAGGGCATCAGAGGTCAGAGTGAAGCTTTGTAGAAGTGAGAGAGGAAGTTGTTGATGTTGTGGCACATTTGCTGCACGTTTATTTAAGGGAAGGCATTTTTCTGCCCACTGGCATTTTCTCACTCTGACTCTGCAATTTATGTTTTGGCTCTTATGCCAACAGGAAAATGAATTATAACATTTTTATTGCCACATTAAAATAGCCTACCATTACCTCTCATTATAAAAAAATAAAATAAATGTTGATAATTGACACCATCATAAACATGCTTATGGTTGTGTTTTCCATTATTTTTGCAATAACAATCTCCAAAGTTAATTCTAGCTAGTTCCAGCCCTCAAATTAGTTTGGTTCTGCAGTGACATTTTCAGTGAGTCTTTCTGCAGGTTACATCCTTACACCAGAAGGTGACAGCAAGTAACCGTGTTTACGAGTCAGTCATTAAATCATTCGTTCAACTGATTCATTCACGGATGCGCTGTTTTGCTGAGGCTTTGTTTATAATTCATTTCATTGCCAGAACAAACGTAAACAAAGCATTACTGTGTCTTAAATGTAAGTTACTCAACATTAAGTCGTTTACTGAACTGTTGTATATTACACTTGGCTTTGGTGCAATTATTGCTTTTGAGTCACGACAGTTTCCTTTGCTGCAGTCACTGATAGTTTTCAGTAGGCAGGCAAATTGAAAACTGAGCTGTTTTACTTATTATAGAGCTAATTCCCCCTTTCCCCTCCATTTTTCTTCCTTGCTTCAGAGTGCTTCATGATGGTGATTATTGAAATAAATTATGGGAAGGGGTCTCCATCACTGAATGGTGATTATTACCAAGGCAGACCTGTCTCTATTAGATACATCACTGTTACTTCAGCCGGCCTCATCTGTTCCTTATTCTGCGATCTCATTTCATCAACAGGGCCCATTTCTTGCAGGAATAATGAGATCTGAAGAGAAGAGAACAGCACTCCTGAGGTACAGACTCTCTTCATTGGGATTACTAGAGCACAGTGAGCTGAGGAGGACATAATGGAGCACAAGCTCAGGTGTAGCTAACCTATGGTTTATCTACCCCACGTTATATATGCCAGCTTTATGTTTTAATGATCTGAATGTTATGGCCATCATTTTTTAACACCACAATCATATACAATTAACACATGAAAAAACAAAAATAGAATTAATATTTCAATTCTGCTCAAATTAAATGACTTTAGTTAATTTTTCTGAAGTTTTAAAGATCAAGTCTGTAAAATGATTCAATCGCTTCCTGTCACTGATATATTATTACAATTTAAAATCACTATTTTATAGTTTAATATATTTTAAAATGTCATATTTTCCAGTGATGGGAAAACTTGATTTTTAGCAGCTAGTACTCCAGACTTCAGTGTCACATGCTCATTTGGTGCTCAGTTATTAATAATGGTTCTTATTATTATCAATGTTCAAAACAGAAAGTTGAAAAGAACAGCATTTATTTGAAAAAGAAATCGTTTGTTACATTATAAATGTTTTTGTTTTATAAATGTTTTTTAAAAAGTCTTTACTGTCACGTTTGATCAATTTAATCAATTGAATTTGTTGATTTTTTAAAAACCTTACTGACCCCAAACTTTTGTTTGTATCACGGTTTCCGCAAAAATATTAAGAAGCATAAACTGTTTTCAACATTGAAAATAATAAGAAATGTTTCTTGAGCAGCAATTCAGCATATTAGAATGATTTCTGAAGGATCCTGTGACACTGAAGACTGGAGTAATGGCTGCTGAAAATTCAGCTTAACTCACAGGAATAAATTACATTTGAGAATATATTCAAATAAAACAGTTATTTTCAATAGTAATAATATTTCACAGTGTTACTTTTTTACTGTATTTTTTTATCAAATAAATGCAGCCTTGGTGAGCATAAGAGACTTCTTTCAAAAACATTAAAAAAAAAAACGTATTCCAAACTTTTGACCAGAATGTTATACATTTATAACACTATATTTTGCATTATTTCACCCTGGCAATAAATTCCATAAAACAAACAAACAAAACTAGTAAATGTTGTTGCAGTGGTGTTTCTAATAATCTACTACAGTAAATGTGACGTCTTTCTCTTGAGTGACTGATCAATCTCTTTCTATTTTTTTTCCTCTCGTGGACAGTCATGGAAACGTAATCATGATTTCTTTTTATAGCAAATAAGAATGCAACAATTATAATTTCCATGGCCTTTCATTTACCTCTATAGAAGTTTACCATACTATAGTTTACTTCTGTGTTGTGAACCTGGAAATGTAAGAAGCATGTCTAAACAAATGAGCTGGTCAGTTGAATCGTGATTATTCAGAATTTGGTAGCCTACAAATACGTTAGTCTCCTGCGCTGGCAAGGTAGCTGTAATCACCAGACATGCACTTCCAGACCTCTAAGAGAGCTGGGGTTTGTGAGATGCAGGAGTAACAGGGGCAATCTTCTCAGCAGGACACATGACTGCTTATCTGACATCCTGAATGCAGGTGCACAGAGAAAGTAGGAGAACAGCATTTCATCTCAGCTTCTGCTTAAAGCCCAGGTCTCCTGTGGCGACGACTCTGTCTTGCCACATTTACAGAGCCATTACAGTGCATTGTAAGCCCTTGTTAAAATGCACCATTTACCACCATCTACTTCCATTCCCTGAGGTCCAAAAATTATGACTGTAGATAGGCAAAAGGGAACAACAGGGAAAGTGAAATATGAGAAATATTTCTTGTCCTTTGTGTGTGATTCAGTATCTTAACCTGTTTTTATTCTTATTTTAAGATTTTTGTTTGTTTGTTTTTAATTATTGTATCCAGCGCCTGTGCAGATAAAAACAGGGTGCACACAATGCCTGTGCTGTTAATTTGGTCTTGAATTAATGTGTTTTCAGTCATTATTGTCAACATGCACCTGCATAAAGTTGACCTGTTAATAACTAAGCTTAAACTGTAAGGTCGGAGTTTATGAAGGCAAAAGACCAGCTATAACTGTTAATCTATATTTTTGTACTTATTTATTTATTCTCAAGTTCTCAATAAAATGTTTTTTTTTTTGGTAATATAAAACTTTTAATGTAATTTTACAAGCAATTATAAGTGTTTACATTCATTGTAACCTAATTATCATATTGCCAAGACATGAAAAATCATTCTAGTTTCTGTATATTCAGTGGGGTAGTGCTTATACAGTAAATAAAGCAGACTAGATTATAATACATTTGGAGAAAAGTCTTTCCAGTGAGTCTGCAGTAAATTTTAATGTCCCCATTATTTATGTCCCTGTTTTAATATACTTAACAAAATATTAAATTCAAAATGATAATAATTTGACTTGGTTTGCAGACGTGTGACAATTATTTCTTTATTTATTTATTATCCATGAATTTCTAACATGCAAAAATTGGCAATTTATTAAGAAATGCCCCAGGTGTTTCTTCATATTTTTATATACTTATTTTTTAAAAGAATGTTAGTCAAAACATTTTAATTTGTGATACATTTATATGTTTTTTCTCAATATCAATTCATACCTTTCCTTTTATACTCTTATACAGTTCATACTTTGTCCAAATCATACAGTTTCCTATTAACATAAAAAAAGTCCTTAATGGCATAATCCTCCAGGAAGTGACATCGTTTTTGGTGGAAATATAACCATGCAAACATTAGCTATGGATTTAAAGAACTGATGTTTTGTGGTATGTGTTTGTTTCACTTTAAAACATTATATTCTGTTTGATAAAAAAGCCCTTTGTCTTGTTAGTTTTTTTTCTTCTATTGTGTAATAGATTAAGTTTAAGTGCCTGTGTTTCACCAGCCTAAAAGACTGATGTACCAAATAAGTACTTAACTTAAATGACATAAGCATTTTTTAAAAATTGTTTAAAAAAAGATATTGCATGGAATGATCCAGCTGTCATTAACAATAATCCGGTTCGTAACCTACAGAGCGCCCAGTGAGCAGCAGTTGAACAGCAGATGTTCGAGCAGGAGGAGGTGATTCAGGCGGGTGTGGTCAGTGACGTACAGACTCTCAAATAAGTACGAGCGTTCAGCGACAGACGGAGCAGAGCACACTTTAACATGTATCCTCCTGACAGCTCATCAAAACACTGGCCATTTCCCTATTACACAGGCTTCTAACAGCGATCAAATCAAGCAATAACATTCTCTTTTGGGATATTTTTCGACTTAGAGATCGAGCCTTACAGTGGACCATCTGTTGACCAACTAAACATCGATTGCAACAGGTAGGTTCACTGTCTTCCAGTCCGTTTTTAGTAAACTATCGCCCTATATCAATCGCATTGCAGTGATTCATTCAGCGCGTGAGCTTGATTACAGTACGCATGTTTACGCGTGCACTGTTCAATCGAAAATGCCGCAAGCAGGTTAATTAATGGAAGTGTGCAGAACATCTTATTCATTCACTTTTAAGCGGCATTGCGAGGCATGAGGATGAGAGTGTGTATATGTGCTGTGCATATGTTACAGTTGGTGAATTTATAAACAGAAATCTGACTATTTTGAAATGTTTCTAGTAGACAAAGGAGGTTGAGTTGTCCTCAACTGTTATAAATATTCATATTAAATCACTGACACGGATAATTAAGTCTTTCATCTGAGTAATCTGTCACAAGTACATCTTGAAACTACTCTCAGTGATCATAGTCTTAGTGAACATTACCAGTAAAATATTTATGGATTACTTGTAGAACTACTACATTTTCCCCCCAAAAGTCAGTAATGGTGTCAGAGAGTTTTAACCTTGTCCTGGCTTCAGCAGGTGGTGACATTTAATGGTCTTACAAAACTGTTGTACAGTAATACAAATCAGTTGGTCAGCTGCTGTTATGTGTAGTTTTTTAATGTGGGGTGAAGACATAAGTCTATAAGTAATGCATGGACTGTTATATAGTGTATGATTTTAACTCTTGAATCTTTTTTAACCACAGGCAGTTTGTGCTACACGGTTTCTTTTGATTCATTCTCAGTTAAAAAGGCTGTGAATTCCTCTCGTATTTCATTTATTCCAACTGTTTTAAATTGCTGGTCTTTTTGCTTCTTAAAGAGGTCATGTGCACTAGTAAAATTATTAAAATTAAAATAAATAAGGTCTCTTTTTTATTTTGTTTTTATTATAAAAATAGTTTTTTTGTATAATTTAAACGTTTTTATTATATAATATTTTTTATGGTGTTTTCTTTTTTTGGTGGTTATATTAATTCTTGCATTCCCTGGGAATCAAACATGACCTACTGTTGCTAAGAAAACTACAGGAAGACTAATAATATAGCACTGTATTTTTAACATGCACTATATTATTAGAAGGTTCATAGTCTTATGGGTTTGCATCAAGTTCAACGGTGGTCTTCCTCCTTGTTCCCATAACTCCTGCACAGGGCATGGTTTCCGTCGCTCCTTCTCTCCCTTATCCGTTTTCCGCCAGACAAGGGAGTGAGAGGGAAGATCACACCACGGCCTTGGGCTTTTGTTTTTGGTATGCACTGCTGGCCGATGACCGGGCGCTCTTTTGCCTCAAGACAAGAGCATGCATCATGCCAGACTGGTTGTCAGGAGAGAGTTGACGCAGTCAGCTTCAGTCTGTTCCGCTTTCGGAGTCTCCTTCTCTCTGTCTTCCGTTCTATCTTAGTCTTTCTTAGCCTCCTCTCAGAGGAATTATAGGCGTTAAGAGGGTTTGAGGTTACTGGGTTTTTAATGGGACGATTAGTTTCCCCGTTATCCGTATGGTGGGAATGAACAGAGGATTTTACTGTCGGCGTTTGACCAACCTCTACAGCTGGTGATTTGTATGAAGTTGCATACTAAATGCATATTTAGCACTTTACATAAGAAATAGCTATCTAAAAATACAATGACCTGCACTGTAAACAATGTCTACTAAATTTACAATGTGCAATAAATAAAAATTTACACTAAAAAATCACAGCTGTGGTTGCCAGAAATTCAACACAAAAATACACTGAAAATGTTTCCACAATTAAATATACTTAGACTACCAAAATGTACCAAAACTACTCAAATGTACTGATGGCCACCATGATAATACAGCTCAATAGAAAGCCACAATAAATCACAGTAGTTCATCGTAAGTGGACTGTCCATAAAACATGGCCAATACTTGTATACAGACAGTTCACAGGGTTATACATACAAAGGCAAAACACCATGAAGATACTAAAATAATTTGATAACAAAAATATAAAAGAAACATCTATATAAATAAAATACAATCATATGTGTCACAACATTTACTGTTTTTCAGCATAAATTAAATGGTAATTATGGTAGTTAAGTATGATAGGTTTACATAAAAACAAAAATCATAATTTATTACAGTATTTTACAGTAAACTTATGTATAATGTGATGTCAAACCACAATTTTTCATCATATACAGTAAGGTAACTTACATTTTTAACCAATTAACCGTTTTTTACTATAGCATTTTATAGTCTTTTTCTGTAGTGTGTGATGCGCAAAAAAGGATATAATTTGACATCTTTATTACCTATCATGCCGATGCAAAGTGGTAATGAGAGTCTTTGGTTTCAATTAATGTCGCTAATCAAAACTCGCATATTAATAATTCATGAAATATAATTTTAATTATTTATAAAAATAGTAAATTAAAAATAATAGTTTTTACCATTTTATGTGAAATGTAATGTTTGCAATTCACAGCATCATACTTTTTTTTTCTGTCATTTTGTCATGTTGCAGGTACTTGTGCTCTGTGCCAGGGTATGTTTTGGCCAGTTGCCTGTCTGCACTGAAACGAGGGTTCAAAAGTCCTCTGCGGACTCACCGGTGGCTAACTGCCTCTCCCGCAAGTACAGTCTACAACACTGTATAGGTAAGAGTCATTTTAACAGACTTCTGTGTTAAATTTGTAAGAACTAACATGTGCCATTAGAAATGCAGCACTGCAAAGAGCTGAGAGAAATAAAAATGTGTCTTCATGCCTTGATTAATTTTTATGGATATTCTGTGTAAGAGAAATGTAAATGTTCCTGAGGCAGATCTTTAGGCCTTTACGAATGCAACTTAGATTCATACTATCACTGAGCTGTACGCAACAGGTAGGCCTGTCGCAATAATCAATATATCGACTTGCAATATATATACATGACCTCAATCATTTTTGGTGACGCAATATATCGCCCATTATATTTACTTAAAAATTAATGTCACCATGTTTTGTACATTCCACTTGCGCCTGTGTCTTTTGCAGGTTCTCATACATAACGTGTTGTAGTCACGAGGTGCTAGTTCAAATTTAAAAAATGCTTCTACAAACAAAGTTTCATCTGCAGATATGGTCTTGTTTAGGGATCT